CGAAAGACTTATTTGTAGCTTATTTTGAAGCCCAGAAAATTCTCTATTTTACTATGTATGCGCTTTGCTCAAGGACTTTGAAATCGGACGAGAAGTTTGCGGAAAAACGTAAATGGCTTTTGTTGAACTTGTTGCGAAAACTGAAACGTAATTTTTTTTCAAAGACACCAGAAGGATTTTTTGAAAATGGGAAGTGTTGGGAAGTGAAAAGGGATGCATTTCCGATCATTTCCACTCAAAATCATATTGGGCGATTTTCTAGCAGAAACCGTTTCCCGTCCTTTGGGTAGGTTATTTTGAAACCGAACTTTTTCCGTTTATCATACGGTGTGAGTTTTATCATACCTTTAATTATCTCTATATCAAAATCTAAGAACGTCGCTTTTTGATCACCTATATTTTATCAATTTAAAGTGAGTTGTGAGGAAAGATTGTAGATTGATGTTGACCAAACTTATCATCAGAGTTTATTGTAATCAAATCATTAATATATCTGAATGTTCCATGCTTGTAGTCCGCACATTTCTGATTACAATGAGATCTCTCCCAACTCTACATGACCTTTCTTTGCAAAGTTATAGAATTTACAAGAAAAGCCCTAAATTAATTTCTTCTTATTTCTGTAGCTTTGAGTTGACAATAAATATTTAGGGCTTTTCTTGTAAATTTCTATAACTTTGCAAAGAAAGGTCATGTAGAGTTGGGAGAGGTATCATTTTAATCAGAAATGTGCGGGCTACAAGCATGGATCATTAAGAAAAGCTTTGGTTGTTTTTCAGAGTTTCTGAAGAACTGATTTTCCAGAAAAACGAGTCTTCTAAGCAATGTGACCAAACTGAGTACGTCGTTAGAACCAGCATGGCCTAAAATTCAAACCCCCCAGAGGGTTTTAAAAAATGTTTTGTTGGGGATGAGATATGAAAAAAATATTACTACTCTCCCCTATTGTCTGTTGTATTACAAATGACCCAAATAGGAAATTTTATCAACTTTAAGTTATGTTGGTGAATAGAGACTTAGAGAAAATTAACACATCCACTACCACACATGCTGAAATATATGACGTGAATACATCATACGACGTATACGATAGTAAATGTGTTAATTGATTTTTTAATGTTTTAATCTTCACCGGAATGTTGCAAAATAACTATTTGCTATTATTACGGTATTTTCGAATAAAAATTTTTTATCAGCTATTCATTTCATATTTTCTCTAGCAACAAATCATATGAAATGCTGGTATACAAGATGGAAAAATTATACGTTTCAACATTTCTAGTGAATTTCTTTTTATTTACCTTTTTATATTGTTATTATAAACTTTATTTAATAGAAAAAATGTTGAAAAAATCAGTACAATTATGATTAGAAGGAGGCGAACCCGTTACATCTTAACATAAATTGACTGAGGACAGGGGACAGCACAAGAATACATATATAGAAACGATACACGATGAGAACATAAAAAAGAGAAAGTAATGACAACAATAGGAGTAAAAGAAAAAGAGACTAACTGATGAACAAAGGGGAGAAAAGGATGTCATGAGATTAGAATCTTTATGTGTCGCGAATAAATGTAATTACGATATTAATTATATAGTTCATTTATTTCTGTTACGTTTAAAAGTGCTGCAGGCTTTAGAGATGTTAGGCTTTTATATTGTTCAAGACCTGTAACGAATTATCTATCACCCAAAAACGATTGACTGATATAAGCTTCATTCTATCAGAATACACGCGGAAAATATTCCATTATAGTATTCTAAACGATTGATTTTTTGTTTCGACTTTTACATTTTTACAATATCTCATTTGTTGTTTGTACACCACTCTTAAAACGGAATTGAGTATTTGAGTTAGTTTCTTTGGGTAACAGTACGATGATGAAATTATGAATCGGTGCTTAATTGAGTTTTTATGGAACTTAGGGATAGAGTAAATGAATGGTAAAAATTTTATTAGGTAATACTTATATGTTATGTTATTTAAGTGTTTTACATTGAGATGTAACAATATTTGTTATTAATAATTTCGTACATATTTGATGATCGATGAACTCCTATTTCTTCTAAAATTTTCTCTAAATAGTATTTTTTACAAATAATCGGTACGTACTTCAGAAGTAATCATTAGATATTAGTCTTGCTGTTCTAATTTCTACTGTAGATCATTGATGTCCAAAGGAGGTTTGTATGAACATATGTGTCAAAACTTGTTGAGTCGATCATGAGTTCATAAACTGATGAACGAAACATTATAAAGACAAAAACTATGGACTATAAAATAAAAAGGAACTACTTATTTCAAAATAATTATAAACACACATCTACCCGCATGTTCAGCCAAACAAAAAAAGATAAATAACATATCGGACAAAGAGAAGTACAATTTTTTTCATCATGTCGACGTTTTCAGTACAAACTTACCCCATACTTATTTCTTATATTAATTCATCAAAAATAATAAACGAAATGTACCATTTAATCATTTTAGATAAATCTATCGCTGAAACAGAGACAAAATTCAAACTTAGCAAGTTTCATTCTTCTACCGAAATAAACTCGCATTACATTCTTAAACATTCTCTCAAAATGTCTTTTGATTATCTCCGTCTTTCAACTCGCCGATTTTTCATGTAAAATAAAAACGATAAACTAACGTTACTAATTTGTCTGCTTGAATTGTTGTACATAAACATGGATTGAAACTTTTCTATAAAAGAAATTATTCAAAAGAATGCAGCAGCAAATGTCCATAGGTTAGCTTACAGTATAAGACTATTACCTAATATTATGCCATTATAACTTCGGTACTAAAACAGATGAAAACATTTAGTTCAATTATACATGCGAAATAAACTTTATTAGATTCAGTTACTAAATTACAAAAAAAAAATTGAAGAATGTATTATACTATACACAAAAACAAACAAATATATCACCGAGCAGAAAAACGATTCTCTATTTGATGTTATGTTCTATTATTTTTTTCTTACGTTCATAAACAAAGTCAATGGTTAATTACCAAGAAATTGTATTAAACTTCATCTCATCATTTATCGATCTAAATATTATCATAACACATCAAGAGAAAAAGTGCGATCTAATATCTAGAACGCACACAAATACCTCCTTGGTATTGCTTTCACATTATTGAATTCAGCTAAAAACTGTAGAAAATCGTTCTCATTACGAATATCATAATGCTTATCCATAATAACAGATATTCTTGTCTTATGTTCAACATTCGATAAAGATAATTTTAGTTGTTTTGATGCAGAATCATCTGTCCCATCAAATTTACGTTTACATGAACTGTTTGAAGATGGTAAAATATCTTCTATTATTGTTTGTGAATGGTTGTCATTGCTAATAGAACTAGAAGAAGTAACTTGTGATTTACAATCAGAGTCTAAGATTTCACATACACAATTATACGTTCGTTTCAATAGTAAACATACACGAATATTGTCTTTAAATAAACGCTGACAACTTAATCGTTTTTGTTTGATGGATGTTAAATTTAAAATATAGCGTACTTCAGAATAATCAATACAAGAAACATTACACATAGTTTCATCCAGATAACACTTAGATGGCATAATTTCTTCACTAAAAATCATACAATAATAAAAATTAATATATTATAGATCTACTTAAGAGTCCAGACGCCTCTAATAGCAACGAAAAGATTCAGTACCGAACAGGTTATGATTACTAATTGGTTGCTATAGACTTACCGCCGATCAGAACTTTAAATCCAAGAGTGTAGTCGATAATTAAACCAGCATATAATTTTGTCAATAATGTGAACTTCGCTTAGTCAATCAAATCACTATTAATGCATTACATTGATCTGATTAAATGGTTGTCGATTAAACAAACAAGCAAGACATTAAGCAACCAATCAGATCGTCACAATCAACCACCTAAAAATATTCTGGTATAATGGCTGTTAAATTCAGAATGTAGATGTAAAAAATGTTTATATATCACTCATTAAATCTAACAACAGCAGCGATTATCGAGTGATGCGATTCATATGTTGAACATACCGCAGCGCTCTCTTACTTAATCAAGGATAGATGTCTTTGTTTGAAGCATAGACCATAACAGTGTTTAAATTCAGATGTCGAAGTGTTGTACTATTACTACCTACCAGTCTTTACTATCTCGACCATCATGAATGGATAGTCATTTTGTCTGAAGTATGGTACACAGAAAAAGAATTATTAACTTAAACGTGTTAATAATTACACTATTTGTTTACTGTTATCTACAATTTTGTATTTCAACAGTTAAACCTGAATATGTGTTCATTGACTAATAACAAAAACAGATTCAGGCATTTATGCTAAAATAAAACAAAAATATAGTTTCAGTTTTGTTTGTCTGTTGAAATGGTTGTAGTCATTAAGAAGCAGAAGTTGCTTCATTATTTAGGACAAAAAGGAATTTTTAAACAAAAAACCTGTCAGTTTCGTAATGTAGTATTAAAAAAATTGACAATGACTTTGAGAAAGAGAGCAAGAAACTATAATACATGCTTAATGTGATACATCAAAATAGAAAAAAAAAGTTTTTTTTAAAAAATACCCAAATTTGATATTTCATAATTTTTTTAGAAAAGTTAAATCTATTAAAGATTATCCCATCCGTCAGGATTTTGAATATTAACTTGTCTTCTTTGAAATTCGCGTTTAAAATCACTTCCCAATAAATCCAAATCTTTTTCATCTCGAATAACACCCTGTAGAAGAAAATCTCAAGAGTGATTATGACATATACTTCGACCATAAAACAACAAACCTTAGGCAAGTAACCAAGCAATCTATTCGCATGTTCTTTGAGTAATTTAACACGTTCCTCTTCAATGATTTGTCGACGAACTTGTTCCACTCTTTCTGCATCAACACGATCTGCGACTTCACGTTTCTATAAAAACAAAGAATTTTTAACAACACAGTTACTATAAAAAGAATAGAAAACTAACAAACATACCTTCTCAACTTCCATTCGTTGACGGCGGTCTTCCAATAATGTATCCACTGCACGTTTGTGTTCAATTTGTTTCATTCTTCGTTTTTGAGCATTCATTTGTTCAATTCTATCATCTTCAGCAAATTTTGTCATTAGCTAAAACGAGACAAACATTAACGCATTAGACATATGATTTAAACAAAACTTAGCAATGCCGAACAACCAAATTGTGTAACTTTACCTGTTGTCTAAAACGATCTTCTTCGTCTCTCACTTCGACATCACGCATTTTTTTGAATGCCAGCTGTTCATCACGTTCTTTCTGAAGTTCTAAACGTTGTCGAATACGTTGCTCAAGTTCATCTCGTTCTTTTTGTCGAATATTATCTTCTTGTTCTTCTAAGTACAGTTCTTGTCGAACACGTTCCATTTCTTCTCGTTCCTCTTTATCACGACGAATTTGTTCAGCTAATTGTTTTTGAACCTTAAAAAAACATGTAAATCAATTTAAACATCAGAAAAATACGATTTGACTTTACTTACTTTGCCCATTGCTTGTTCTCGCGCTCTCTTCTCCGCTTTTTGAATCTCTTGTCGTTGTTCCTGAGCTTGTGCATATTCTTTAATTCGACGATTTTCATCTTCCATTCGTTGACGCTCCACAATCTTCCATTGTTCACGTTTACGTTTAAATTCCTGAACAAATTCTCTTGTAGCACGTTGTCTTTCCATTTTACGTTCCATTTCTCTACAAAAGAAAGCAAGTCATTAGAAATTCTGTAAATGTGATGCTAATGCAGCTTACCTTTGATCTTCTTCATATATCTTACGAACAATTTCATCGATAACCAATTTTTCACGAAGAAATTCTTCATAAGCTTTTTGTTTCGATAATTCACGTTCTTCCAATTGCCGTTCTAGTTCCTATTTGAAAAAGTAAAGTATTTTAAGATGAATGAAGGTTTTCTTGAATAGTACTGTCTACGGAAATGCATAACTTTTTGATAGCGAAAAACGAAAAAAGAAAGTGGGAGCACATCATGTGCTGTAGCTGTAGATTGGAGTCAGATTTTAGACTATTTATTCAAATTTTAAGTATGGTTATTGCAGCGTTTCCAACCTGTTTATAACGGATCATTTCTTGTTGACGTATAATTTCTTTCGATCGTCTATCTTCTTCTGCTTTAACCGTTTCTTCGCGCATTCGTTTAGCTATTTCAGCATCTTCCGCGAAACTATCAAATTTAATTGCTTCTTTTTCAGCCATTTGTGCTGCTCGCTCTTTCTGAACATAAGCTGAACGAAGTTTTGACTCCAACTCTCGTAATTCGTAACTTGTATCTCTAAAATAGGAGGAAAACTTAATAAAAAAATGCATCAGTCTCAGATCACACACCTTATTTGTTGTCTCATCTTTTCATCTCGTAATTTCTCATGTTTAATACGTTCTAATTCAGTGGCTAATCGTTCTTCTTGTTCACGCGCATCTTGAGCCAATTTTTTCTCACATTGTTGCCGAATAATTGATTCTTCCATTGCACGATCACGCTCAACTCGACTCTGTTCACGTAACGTCCGTTTATTAGAGGCTTTCTGTTCAAATGACTGCATTTCACTTTGTAGACGTTCTTGTGCTAGTTGACGTTGACGTATTTGTCGATCATTTTCTACTTCACGTTGATTATTTGGACTCGAGAACCAGTTACTGTTCGAATTCGATTGATTTTTAAATATTTGTCGAGTTAACGCCTAAAAATAAGACATATAGTAATAAAATTTTTCATCAGCAACTTTTGGTTTCTATCACTCACCATTTGCTAATAATTCAAGAAGAAATATTTGCTTATATTCTTGAATATAATTAAAATTGACTAAAAGACAATGCATAGGAGATTATTGTATTACATTGATCAAGAACAAAAATAACAGAAGATGACTATCACTGCTAATACTTCTCGAATAAACTGTGCATACTGTAACATAACTTTGAATTTAGAGACCTGTAAACTTTTTCCGATGGCTAGAATGCCAAAAAGTTTCAAGCCTGTGCTGAACAAAATGAAATGAATATGCCGACAGAATAACTTGTGTAATTAATTTTCAAATTTTCCGTGCGTTATGCTCAGATTTTAAATTTCGCATTATTCTACTTTCTTATAGGGAAAAATTTACTGCTGTGCGATGTACGAGCTTACTAACTCGAAGTGAACTGTAATTGTTCAGTTAAATCAATTAAATATGGGAGCCTGTGAATAGCGAAAGCTTTACTGCAGTTATTTTTTTACCTTTGCTTTTTGTCTAACTCACATCAGTCCTTCTGTTTTTTTTGGCGATTGTTCATGCTACATGATTCGTTCGCCATTTGATAAGCATTTACTATGACTATGACAGTTACCATATTCCAGTTTCTAACGATATCGATGCGGTTAGAACTGGTTGTTCGAATCTATTTTTCATAAGAGATTGATATCTTTTTCTTTTATTGAAAATAGAAAGGGGTTGATCTCGTACTAATTGCATCATCCCTACTAAGAAACTTAGCAAGAAGCGCCACCTTTGCTTTGTTCTATGAGAATCTATTCTAAGTAGATATTTTAACGACAACACAAAACCTCTGCCATAACGCAAACTTAGTTTCTCAGATGATTGAATAATTCATAAAAATATTCGCATTGTGATGACTATGAACCGATCAGCCTGAATTAATAAAAGCGCTAAAATGCATTTCCAACATGTTAATAATGACTCTTTATTGAATTTAAAATAGATATGTTACACATACTTTTTCAAGTTTCAGATTATCTCTTACTATTATTTCAGTGATGTTTACTATTATCGAGCTATACTATATCAACTATGCCAATATTATACTCATTCAATTTCAGTGCGAAACGGTACTTTTTTCCAGTTTTAAGTATTAAAGGCTTTTAATCGTTCATATATCTTTTGCTAGTTAATACTAAGAAATTTTTAGAAAAAACTCCAATATTTTCGGGGCTGTAGTCAGAAAATATCGTCAATCTTTGTTAAAATCAAACATTCAAGTACTTCTCTGACGAGAGACCCAAGTGTGGGTATTTGTAAACTACGCTCCCATCCACACCCACCCACACCCACCCCCAAACTAAATTTTAATTACATGATTGGATAGAGGATGCCGAGTTGTCTTCACACCCACCCATATTTTTTTCTGTCTTAG